CGCGCCTGTGTGAATGAATGAACGATAAGCGCACTTGTTCTGGCTGGAGCATCGATGAAATGGGACAGGTCACTGACTCGGGTCTGACGCTCTCCTGACTGTATGATCGATGAGCTTCTAATTTATGAATCTTCTGTTGAACTTAATCCGTCACTTATATACACCCACACTGGCCATAACGAATGTATCAAGCAACAATGGCAACAATGGCAACAATGAAAGCGAACGGACGATTAGATGTCTACAGACGCTAATGATATATATTTTTCACCAGAAAGTCATGAATAGATTGCACCGGGAATAGTTAGTTTGGAATATGATAAAGAAGTCCTTGAACTGAGTACACCCCGTGATAGATACTGCACTTATTTTAGATGAGCAGCGTACCCATATTAAGCTAGGGTATCGTAAAAGCTTTCAATTTATTGGCTGCATAAAGGATACACCGGACGGTATATTTAAATTCGGTTATGAATAAAAAGTACATAATTATAAATATTGGGAACAAAAAACAGAAGTAACGTAGTTTTCATCAACCCGGTTTATTTTGTCACAAAACTCTCAACCGACTTTTCATACTACTTATTAGAAAATACTACCGGCTAACATGCTATGTCGCAGTTCCTGGAATTTACCCACTTCTTCGAATTCCCGAGGGGTGCGACATAACAGAAGATTGACTATATATCTGTGCGTGAATAAATAAATGGGCTGTAATTCAACAAATTAGTGATCTTTGTTTTATTTAATTCGGCAAGAGTACGCGTATGTTTTCTTCTGTTCGAAAGCTTCTATAAGTTTTTTCGTTGGTCTTTGGTTTATTATAAATCACAGCAACGTGCCTTATGATTTCTTCTTCAAGCTCAAGGTTGCCTCGTCACGTGATTCTGTCAAAGTATCCTCCACTCACCGAATTATAGTGCACTCATGTACACACTCATTTAAAAGATCACAGGGGCATGTGTGTGCCATTTGAGCTGCATACAATAATTAACTAACGTGTCTCCTGTACTGTTGACAGCTTTCAAGTAATCATCCACTATATGAAACAATCGCATGATGAGATCTTATCTAAAACCAGGTTCCCGACGATGACGGACATACTCTGCGGTATACTTGGTCGATAAAAGAGGTTCCACAGGAAACATGCGTGAATGTGCACACATCAACAAGCTCAAACACAAATGCACATAAATTTGTGTACGCACCCGAACACATTCTGTTTTACGCCAACAGATTTCAAATTTTCAACTTGACTGCAGTCATCTTTACCCCGGAGACGGTATTCTATCACCCACTCAATCGTTTCGGTATCGCTACTTGCACTCATTCATTCCTCCGTAACAGGATACCCGCACGTCTGTCAGCTGACACAGGTGGCATCTTTCATGCAATAACAAACAAGGTAAGAGTCAGTGACAAATACGTGTGATAAATAGCTGAAAAGGGTGCAAAACCAATGATGTGATACGCTTAACCGAAATAAAACAAGAGCGTAACACAGAGAGAGACACCAAGCATTTAGTTGAGTTGATACATTCACTTTGGAATTCATCCATTCTTCGTCGACACAATGGATGTCTCAGCTGATGTGGTTGGTCACACTCGTGTTCATGGTAACGAATACTTGACAGAAAGATTGGCTAATTCCGTCCTGAATCATCAATTGGAAAAAAATCGCCCAGAAGGTCATGCCAAGTTCTTGTCAGATCGAATTCACTATTCCAAAGACAGTCCTACGTATTACCAGGATGGTTCACGCGATATCTACTATGACGATGTACGAAAAGTATACACATTCCCTAACAAACCCAATTTGATCATGCTCGCCATTGATGACCCGGGTAATGGACGAGTCTATCAGACGTTCAAGGTTGCAAATCCAGATGAAGTGTCTCGAATTAAACGTCGCGTTTATGATGGCCGCCGTGGTCGATATGCTCGTGAAAACGGATACGAAGACCCTGAGTATCGCCGATCGTCTCGATCTTATCGTCGACGTTCGTCACGAACGCCATCTCCGGTTTACGTGGAAACGCTTGCTCCCGTTCAGTCCGTTCCCGTTATGCAGCGAGTTCAGCAAGTTCCGGTTGTTGAACGTGTCGAAACCGTTCCTGTGGTTGAGCGGGTAGAGACGGTTCCTGTGATGGAGCGAATCGAAACCGTTCCCGTAGTTGAACGCATTGAACGGCCCCAGAGAGTTGAACGGGTTCAGCCAGTTCCAGTTGTTGAGCGCGTGGAGACTGTACCCGTGATAGAGCGAGTTGAACGCACGCCAGTAATGGAACGAGTTCAAAGAGTTCCAGTTGTTGAACGTGTTGAAACTGTTCCTGTAGTGGAGCGGGTGGAAACTGTTCCCGTGATGGAGCGAATTGAGACCGTTCCCGTGGTTGAACGCATTGAACGTCCTCAGAGAGTCGAACGGGTTCAACCAATGCCAATTGTTGAACGTGTCGAGACTGTTCCGGTGATAGAACGGATTGAGCAAACACCAGTCATCGAGCGGGTCCAGCGTAGACCCACTATTATTCGAGAGCGTTCCCCTTCCCCGGTGTATGTAACACCAATGCCTCAACCTCCACAGTCATACGTTCGTTCGACTGAAATCTACGTCCCCGAGCCCGAGCCGGAGCCGATTGTGTACAAGAGTGTGCAACGTGAAGTGCCAGTAGCTCCAACCTATGTTGAACGTGTTCCCATGGTGGAAAGAGTAGAAACGGTCCCAGTTGTAGAGCGCGTCGAAACTGTCCCGGTGGTGGAGCGTGTTGAAACTGTACCAGTGGTTGAACGTATTGAACACACTCCCGTGGTTGAAAGAGTTCGTTATCGAGAACAGACCCCTTCACCAGTATATGTACAAACAGTTCAAACTGTTCCTCAACCGGTCTCAACGACGTACGTTAGACCGTCTGAAGTTGTTTTTACCGAACCAGCTGCAGAACCGGTACGTTACAGACGTTCCAGCCGATCACGATATGAACCGGGTTATCGTTCAACATCTATGTCTCCTGCTCCCAGAAGATCCTCTGTGGGACGTCGGCCCTATTCACCCTCGTATGATTACGAGAGTGAGGACGATGACGGCTCGATAATTCTCAAACGCGTTTCCAAGGTTGAACCATCATAATCAATGGACTACAATGGTTGGTACCTATCACATGAATCTATCTTAACATGTTGTTTGCCCATCTCCGAAGTCCTTTTTATTATTTTGATTAGTGT